CCCACGCCACTTCTCGCCGCCCCCATTGGCCCGGGACGGCAAACCGCTGCCAGTGGGGGCCGTGATCGGCCGAACCTGCCGCGTCAGCAGGTAAATAAACTGGCCCGGCCCGCCAGGGTGCTTACCCTGGCGAGCCGCGTGCCAAACGTTGCCGACCCCTGATTTAGACTAATTTTGCCCTACTGGATCTGATCACGTGCTTTGGGTAGCACTAAAAATTAGGGCACACATCCTGAATGGGCATTTAGGAAACTGAGGTTGCTTGCAACATAGGAGTATCTCTCTCTCTCTCTTTTGCACGAAAGGATTCATCTGCTTGTCTTAAACGCCACATAAAATTGGAAGGCAGCTAATGCTCATCAAAATGTGACATCTTCTTAAAGACAATAGGACAACTTATATCATGGGATGGATTTGTTCCAGATATGCTTTTATTTGCCTGACCTGCTGACTAGTTGACCCAACTAATTGGTCTGTAGTTCTTTTAACTCTGTGTTGGACATTACTTCCTTCCTTGTGTGAAGTTTATTGAATTACATTTGAGGGTCTCATCTCTTTTCTATTTCTGCTACATTATTATTTAATGACTGCATGGTCTTGTAGATTACCTATGCATCTTTTAATGGAAAAATAAAAAGCGAAGTTTAAAAGAAAACTGCTTTTTGACTATTATATTGAATTAGGGACGAGCCCATATGGATTTCATTAAAATGAATACATACCAGATAACATTACTAATATTAAATTCAGATCAGTCCCCCCCCCCAAAATGATCCACCCCTTCCATTTAAACTAAAAAAAGGATTCCCCTGACCACTGCATTACCCACTTCTTCTTGGTTAAGCAGGTAGTTCATTGTGTGTGGACAGCCTGCTCATCGTGGTTTGACAAACTTAACGGAAGCAACAAGACAGAAAGAAGACAACAAAATCCCTATTCAGACCTCCCATTGGTTCTGAACACACATCATTGCTCATGCCATGCAGTCTCTCTAGAGCTCTGGAGTCGTGCAGGCATTTCAGCCCAGCTTGGAAAAGGTATTTAAACAGTGCTCTGCTTGCAATTGCAATGCCTACGAGCTGGATTTTTAAAGGCATTTAGGTGCCTAACTTTCATGGATTTCAATGAAAGTTAGGTCCCTAAATATCTTTAAAAATCTGTGCCTAGGTGACTTACATGGCGAAGTCCCATTTTCAAAAGTGACTTGGGAGCATAAGTCTCATTAAAAGTCAAACTGGGATTTAGCCATCTAAATCACTTAGACTTTGCAACGCTGAGCAGAGCAACACCTGAAAACTGTTACAAATCTGGCCTTTGTGTGTGACTCTTAGGCAGGCAATAGACTGATGAGTAGAAAAGTGCCAAATGTCCAACAAGAACTCATGCGAGAAGAGGTGTTACACCTGAGGTCCTGACCAAACTCCAATCTGGATCATTACTTTCTACCTACACAGACTCCCATTAAGTTTTATCTCGCAAAATAATTCTTCCTCCCCGGTCCTAAAGGGTTGCAGAGGTTGACTGCACAGGTTTCACTCAGAGCTGGCTGTTGGCTGTATTTCTGGGGTGGGTGAAATGACCTCGATAAGTATGTGGCCTGATGTCAACCCTGGCTTGAAGTGGTTTCCATCATATACAGTGGTTAGAGTTTGGTTCAATGGCTCTCAGTATCCCTACTGTACAAATTGTTCCAGCACCCCTGCAAGTTGGCTGGGGGTTTTGACCTTGCATCTTTGGTCCATCCTTCCACATAGTTCACTAGTGGCCTATGGATAGGGCCCTACCAAAGTCACAGTCCATAGTCACCGGATTTTAAAAATCGTAAATTTCATGATTTCAGCTATTTAAATCTGAAATTTTATGGTGTTGTTATTTTAGGGGTCCTGACCCAAAAAAGTTATGGGGGAGTCACAAGGTTATTGTAGTGGGGGTTGCGATACTGCTCCCCTTACTTCTGCGCAGCTGTTGGCAGCAGTGCTGCCTTCAGAGCTGGGCAGCTGGAGAGAGGCGGCTGCTGGCCAGGAGCCCAGCTCTGAAGGCAGATCTGCCGGCGGCGGCAGCGCAGAAGGAAGGATGGCACAGTCTGATATTGCCACCATTACTTCTGCACTGCTGCCTGCAGAGCTGGGCCCTCAGTCAGCAACTGCCACTCTCTGGTCGCCCAGCTCTGAAGGCAGCAATGCAGAAGTAAGGGTGGCATGGTATGGTATTGTCACCCTTAATTCTGCGCTGCTACTGGCGGGGCGCTGCCTTCAGATCTGGGCAGCCAGCCAACAGCCATCGCTCTCTGGCCACCCAGCTCTGAAAGCAGCACAGAAATAAGGGTGGCAATACTGTGACCCACCCACCCCAGCTCCCTTTTGGATCAGGAACCCAATTTGAGAAATGTGGGTCTTCCCTATGAAATCTGTATAGTATAGGGTAAAAGCACACAAAAGACCAGATTTCACGGTCTGTGACACATTTTTCATGGCCGTGAATTTGGTAGGGACCTACCTATGGAGGCTTGCAGACTAGACTCCATAACCTACAATTAAAACTTAACTGGTAGTCTCAGATATGCACATAAGTTCCTATCATTTTGATTTCCATTCCTACACCATCCAACATGTGGCCAAACCAGGAAGGTTTCACTACAATCCCCATCAACCATTGATTAAGCTCCAAATGCAATCAATTTTATATAAGATGTGAGTGCACAGACATTTTTTGTTAAATGGGCTAAGAACACAGAGCTGAAATTCCATTTTCAAAGCCAGTACAATTACTCTCTATAAATTGACCATATCACAGTGCAGAATTCTATATTGTGCATAGCTAAGTATGATATGAAGAAAATTTCTCCTTTCTAAAATAAAATATAATCTCTTACCTTTTTAATATCATTGAGCAAGTCTATTGCAGCTGCTTCAACCTTTAAAGAAAAAAACCCAGTTCTCTTCCATCCTCCTTTTTATTTTTGGACATTAGAATATCACTTCCATATGAAGCCAAAAAAAAAAAAGTAAAATCAAAGCAATATCGTCCCCTCATATTTTTTTCTAAATGCTAGAAGCATAATCCTAAAATGAAGTGAACTGCTCTGAGATTTCCAATAACCAATAAAACTGTTGGCTGCAAATATCAATAGGAAAGCTTTGTTAAGATAAAACTATCTGCTGTTTGGGGCACATCAAATAACCAGCCAGCTCTCTCATGGGAAGTAGATAGCTGTATACAAGAGGAAAAACTGTTAGTTGTATCTAGCTATAGGAGTAAAAATATTACACAGAACTCAGTAATAATTAGAATGTGAACTGTATCTGTGCATCTCAGAATGAATACCTGGCAGTTCAAAACACGCCTAGAAAGGAAGGAAGTTCATTCTCTCTCTCAGCTGGGCACTGACTTATGCGAAACAGGCAAGGTACAAATAGCAGCGGTATTAGGAAGGACTTTTATGTGTAGGGTTCCCACAGCTTTGCAAAATTCCCCTTGCCTGCTCACACGGGGTGAGGTTTGCTGTTGTGTCTTTTTGTTTGTTTGGACAGGTGAGTAAAATCTCATTATTTTTACCTTTATTATCAATCATCATAGCAAAGGGTGAGTAAGTAGATTTTGAGACAGGGCTGGTAAATTTTTAAGACAATTTTGGGAGGCTGAGTTTATATTGGACAAGATTGTGGTTTGCCTTATGCACCTGTGTAAGGGAGGAGAAGAAAAGCCCTTTTACTCCCCTTTACAGGCTGCCTCCATCATGGGTCACAGCACAGAGAAGGGAGTAGACTCCATGAGGCCACTTCTTCCCATCCCCTGTAGGCGGGTGGTG